GCTGGAGTGCAATGGCGCAATCTCGGCTCACCGCAACCTCCGCCTCCTGGGTTCAGGCAATTCTCCTGCCTCAGCCTCCTGAGTAGCTGGGATTACAGGCACACGCCACCATGCCCAGCTGATTTTTTGTAGTTTTAGTAGAGGCGGGGTTTCACCATGTTGACCAGGATGGTCTCGATCTCTTGACCTCGTGATCCACCCGCCTCGGCCTCCCAAAGTGCTGGGATTACAGGCTTGAGCCACCGCGCCCGGCTAAATAATATTCTTAAACAGAACAAATTACTGTTATTTTATTAGTTGTTTTATTTGATTCTTGTATCTTTGTTCCTCATTTTCTCTCTTTCTTTCTATTTTTTGAGACTGAGTCTCATTCTGCCACCCAGGCTGGAGTGCTGTGGTGTGATCTCAACTCACGGAAACTTCCGCCTCCCAGGTTCAAGTAATTCTCCTGTCTCAGCCTCCTGAGTAGTTGGGACTAGCTACCACACCTGGCTAATTTTTGTATTTTTAGTAGACACGAGGTTTTACCATATTGGTCAGACTGATCTCCAACTCTTGACCTCAGGTGATCCCCCTGCCTCGGCCTCTCAAAGTGCTGGGATTACAGGCGTGAGCCACTGCCCCCTGGCCTCTTTTACTTATTTCTTATTTTGTTTTGTGTATCTATATAGATACATAATTTCTGGTACCTTAGGGATTACATAAACCTCTAAAACATATAACAATATATTTTAATTTGGTAAAAAACGAACTTCAGTTGCATACAAAAATTATACCTCAGATTTTTAATTTCTTTATTCTCTAAAATTCCTTCAATTTTAGAACACAATTAAAAATGTTTTCTACATCATTATGATTATGCTAGGAAAGTTTATTTTTGTGTATGTGCATATCTCTCTCAGACAATGAATTTTTGTATGATTGTCATTTCTTGAATCATGTTATTTGCAGTAAAAGAAACCGCCTTCAGCATCTTATGTAGCGCATATGCAATACCAATGTACTTTCTCAGAATTTGGGTTATTTAGAAATGCTTTTTTCTTCCTATTTGGCAGGACAGATTTCCTGATGGTATTATTCTCACTTGATAGCTTTTGTTTCGAGGAGTTTGACTATATCACACCGTTTTCTTCTGGCCTGCAAAATTTTAGATATCAATTCACTGGTTATCTCATAAGACTATGTTTTTTTTTTGTTTGTTTTTGTTTTTGTTTTTTGGGGGGACGGAGTTTCGCTCTTGTTACCCAGGCTGTAGTGCAATGGCGCCATCTCGGCTCACCGCAACCTCCGCCTCCTGGGTTCAGGCAATTCTCCTGCCCCAGCCTCCTGAGTCACTGGGATTACAGGCACGTGCCACCATGCCCAGGTAATGTTTTGTATTTTTAGTAGAGACGAGGTTTCACCATGTTAACCAGGATGGTCTCGATCTCTTGACCTCGTGATCCACCCGCCTTGGCCTCCCAAAGTGCTGGAATTACAGGCTTGAGCCACTGCGCCCGGCCCTAAAACTATGTTTGTAAATGATACATCGCTTTTACCTTGCAGCTCCCGAGATTGTCTTGTGTCACTTTTGAAATTATGCTTAATTTGTGTTTCTTGCTTGGTGTGATGGCTCATGCCTGTAATCTCAGCACTTTGGGAGGCTGAGGCAGGTGGATCACAAAGTCAAGTTCAAGACCAGCCTGGCCAAGTTGGTGAAACTACATCTCTACTAAAAATACAAAAATTAGCTGGGTGTGGTGATGGGTGCCTGTAATCCCAGCTGCTTGGAAGGCTGAGGCAGGGGACTCACTTGAGCCCAGGAGGCGGACGTTACAGTAAATGGAGATCACGCCACTGCACTCCAACCTGGTCGACAGAGCAAGACTCTGACTCAAAAACAAAACAAACTCTGTGTTTCTTTTTATTTTGCTCCTCAGAAAACTATCACCAACATGAATGGTCTGTGTTTCTTATAAGCATCTTTGTGTATCATAGTTTCTTTCTTGAGCTTCTTTATTTTTACAACCTATTTTAGGATTTTTCAGTTGTAATTTCTTTTTTTTTTTTTTAAAGATGGGGTTTCACCATGTTGGCCAGACTGGTTTTGAACTCCTGACCTCAGGTGATCCACCCACCTCAACCTTCCAAATAAAGTGCTAGGATTACAGGCGTGAGCCACCACGCCCAGCTTTTATAATTTCTTTTTGTGTTTTTTACCCCTGTAATTTTCTTTTTTTTGATATTTTTAATATTTTTGTTCTTACCATCATTTTTCTGAGTTTTGATAGTTGTATGTTTTTCTATTTTACTTATTCAATATTATTTATTTTCAATCAATTTTTAAAATTAATGTGTACTTTTTCAGTTTCTTTCTGAAAACTTTAACATTCTTGAGGGGACTATATTGTCCTATTTTATATACATTGTAATCTTTAATTGAGACATAGGTATCTAAAACAGCTACCTGTCACAATTTTTATAATGTAGCTGTGTCCTGGCATAGTCAGAAAAAATTTTCTCAGCTAGAGATTCTGAGAGTCTCCTAAACATGTTCTTAATATGTATCTTGTCTGAAATTTTGTATTTATTTTTTAGTTAAAAAAGGTTTATTCATGTTTCTTAATAATCAGTCACCACTTGCTAAACGGGTTCCCTGTTTGTGATACTACCCTCTCTCTGCTGCTGTAGCATTTAGCTTTGGATTCAGCAGATTCAAATTGTCATTCCAAAGTATACTAACATTTCTTTCAGCACTTTATGATATGAGAGACAGAATCCAGTGTCTAGAAAGCCTAGACAGTGTCTAGAAATGAAAAAAAAAAAAAAAAAAAGATGTATGTGCCAGTGTTCTACTTGTCTTTAAAAATCAAAAACAGGCTTGGCTATTCACTTCTTCTTTTTTTTTTTTTTTTTTTTTTTTTGAGACAGAGCCTTGCTCTGTCGCGCCGGCTGAAGTGCAGTGGCGAGATCCCGGCTTACTGCAACCCCTGCCTCCTGGGATTGAGCTATTATCCTGCCTCAGCCTCCTGAGTAGCTGGGATTACAGGCACCCAACACAATGCCAAGCTAATTTTTGTAATTTCAGTAGAGATGAAGTTTTGCCATGTTGGCCAGTCTGGTTGTGAACACCTGACCTCAAGTCATTTGCCTGCCTTGGTCTCCCTTAGTTATGGGATTACATGCATGTGCCACCATGCCCAGTCGGCTATTGACTTCTTCTTTTTTTTTGTAAAGATGAGGTTTCACCATGTTGGTCAGGCTGGTCTTGAACTACCAACCTCAGGTGATCTGCCTGCCTTGGCTTCCAAAGTGCTAGGATTACAAGCATGAGCCACCACGCCCGGCCGGCTATTGACCTCTAAAGGCACTATGTTATATTGGTGGGGAGATGGAAGAGCTGTGTTGCTTAAACATAACAGACTTTTCTTTTTATTCTTTGTGGCTCTTTGCATTGTGCTCACTTTCTGGGGCATTGTACACACTTAATTCATTTATAAATTTTTCACAAATGTATTTTGGTCTGTATATTTTTCTGACATTTATATGTCTGTAAAGAAATTAGGACCTTTGGTATTTTCCTATGCAATTTTTTTTTTTTTTTTTGAGACAAGGTCTTGCTCTGTTGTCCAGGCTGGAGTGAAGTTCTTTGATCGCAGCTCACTGCAACTTCTGCCTCCTATATTCAAGCAATTCTCTTGCCGCAGCCTCCTGAGTAGCTGGTATTACAGGTGCACATTACCACACCTGGCTTTTTTTTTTTTTTTTTTTTGTTTTTTTTTTTTAAAGATGAGTTTCACCATGTTGGCCAGACTGGTCTCAAACTCCTGACCTCACGTGATCTGCCCACCTCAGCCTCTCAAAGTGCTGGGATTACAAGCATGAGCTACCACACCCAGACTTGTTATGCAATCGTGTTTATGTAGTTTGTATAATTTTATAGATCAGACTTGTAAAGAATATGTATCTGACTGTAGTATGTGGATTCAGTTGTTATTTTTATTTCTTTCAGGAATGTGTTCCTATTTTGCCCAAGACCTTTGGCTAGCGGAGAGTGTAAAAGATTCTTTCCAAACAATAATACTGAGAAAATATGAAAAATCTGGATATCACAATTTACAGTTAAAAAAAGGGCATAAAGGCGTGGATGAGTATAAGGTGTCCAAAGGAAGTTTTAACGGACAGTGTTTGACAACTACCCAGAGCAAAATATTTCAATGTGATAAATATGTGAAAGACTTTCATACGTTTTCAAATTCAAATAGACATAAGACGGAAAAGAATCCTTTCAAGTGTGAACAGTGTGGCAAATCATTTTGCATTCTTTCACACCTAACTCAACATGAAAAAATTCACACTACTGTGAATTCCTACAAACTTGAAGAATGTGGCAAGGCCTGTAGTGTATCCTCAACCCTTTCTCAACATAAAAGAATTCATACAGGACAGAAACACTACAAATGTAAAGAACGTGGCAAAGATTTTAACAAGTCCTCACACCTTAACACACATAAGATAATTCATACTGGAGAGAAATCCTACACAACTGAAGAATGTGGCAAGACTTTTAACGTATCCTCACACCTTAATACACGTACGATAATTCATACTGCAGAGAATGCCTACAAATGTAAAGAGTGCGGCAAAGCTTTTAACCAATTGTCAACTCTTACTAGACATAAGAAAATTCATGCTGGAGAGAAACCCTTCATATGTGAACATTGTGGCAAAGCTTTTAACCAATCCTCCAACCTTACTAAACATAAGAGAATTCATACTGGAGATAAACCTTATAAATGTGAAGAATGTGGCAAAGCCTTTAATGTATCCTCAACCCTTACTCAACATAAGAGAATTCACACGGGGGAGAAACCTTACAAATGTGAAGAGTGTGGCAAAGCCTTTAATGTGTCCTCAACCCTTACTCAACATAAGAGAATTCATACTGGAGAGAAACCATACAAATGTGAAGAATGTGGCAAAGCCTTTAACACATCCTCACACCTTACCACACATAAGAGAATTCATACGGGAGAGAAACCCTACAAATGTGAAGAATGTGGCAAAGCCTTTAGCCAGTTCTCACAACTTACTACACATCAGATAATTCATACTGGGGAGAAACCCTACAAATGTGAAGAATGTGGCAAAGCATTTAAGCAACTCTCAGCCCTTACTGCACATAAGACAATTCATACTGGAGAGAAACCCTACAAATGTGAAGAATGTGGCAAAGCTTTTAACCTATCATCACACCTTACTACACATAAGAAAATTCATACTGGAGAGAAACCCTACAAATGTAAAGAATGTGGCAAAGCTTTTAACCAATCCTCAACCCTTGCTAGACATAAGATAATTCATGCTGGAGAAAAACCTTACAAGTGTGAACAATGTGGCAAAGGTTTTTACCAATACTCAAACCTTACTCAACATACGATAGTTCATACTAGAGAGAAACCCTACAAATGTGTAGAATGTGGCAAAGCCTTTAAATGGTCCTCAACTCTCACTAAACATAAGGCAATTCATACTGGAGAGAAACCCTACAAATGTGAAGATTGTGGCAAAGCCTTTAATAAGTTCTCAACCCTTACTACACATAAGGCAATTCATGCTGGAGAGAAACACTACAAATGTGAAGAATGTGGCAAAGCCTTCAACTGGTTTTCAAACCTTATGGAACATAAGAGAATTCATACTGGAGAAAAACCCTACAAATGTGAAGAATGTGGCAAAGCATTTAACTGGTCTTCAACGTTCACCAAACATAAGGTAATTCATACTGGAGAGAAACCCTATAAATGTAAAGAATGTGGCAAAGCTTTTAACCAATGTTCAAACCTTACTACACATAAGAAAATTCATGCTGCAGAAAAATCTTATAAAGAATGTGGCAAAGCTTTTAACCGATCGTGAACTCACAACACATAAGATAATTTATGCTGGAGAGAAACCCAGAAGTGTGAATAATGTGGCAAAGCCTTTAACAAGTCCTTAATTCTTAGCAGACATAATTCCTACTGGAGAGGAACTGTACAAACCTGAAGATGTAACAATGCAATTGACAACACCTCAACTTTTCTAAATGTAAAAGAAATAATGCTGGTGCAAAATCCTAAAAATGGGAAAGAATATTACAAAGATAAATGGTTGTCATACTTGATTGTAGGTAAAATACTTTGTACTGGAGAAAATCTACAAGTGTGAAGAATATGGCAAAACTTTTAACTGATGCTGACAAAACTATGGCTTTGGCTGGGCACAGTGGCCCATGCCTATACTCCCAGCATTCTCGGATGCTGAGGCAGGTGGATCACCTGAGGTCAAGAGTTTGAGACCAGCCTGGCCAACATGATGAAACCCCATCTCTACGAAAAGTACAAAAAAATTAGCTGGGTTTGGTGGTACATGCCTATAGTTCCAGCTACTTGTGAGGCTGAGGGAAGAGAATCACTTAAACCCAGGAGGAAGAGGTTGCGGTAAGCCAAGATCACGCCACTGCACTCTCCCTGAGCGACAGAGCAAGATTCCATGTCAAAAAAGAAAAATCGTTGTCAAAAGATTTTTCAGAAACTGCAAGCCTTTAAAGTGAAGAAGAGTATTTATTTTGAAGACAAACATTAAAATACGAGCTGGGTGTAGTGGCTCACATCTGTAATTTCAACACTTTGGAGTCCCGGGCGGTTGGATCACTTGAGGTTGGAAGTTCGAGATCAACTTGGCCAACATGGTGAAACCCTGTTTCTACCCAAAATACAAAAATTAGGTGGGCGTGGTGGCACACGACTAATCCCAGCTATTTGAGAGCTTGTGACAGGAGAATTGCTTGAACCTGTGAGGCAGGGGTTGCAGTGAGCTGAGATTGTGCCACTGAACTCCAGCCTGGGTGAAAGAGTGAGACTTGATCTGAAAAAAAAACTATATATATATATATATAGAGAGAGAGAGAGAGAGAGAGAGAGGAGAGAGAGAGTGTTGTATTACTATTACTTATATGACAGATCTTATTGTACACATTTTGTACAAACTTCACTCAAACTTTGTTCAACATCAGGGAATTTATATTGAAGAAATCTCTGCAAATGTAATAAATTTTGAAAAACTTCTTAAAACACAGACTACAACTTAGGAAACACCAGAGAGTTCATACTAAAATATATTTTTGCAGATGTGATATAAAAAATGAGTTATTTGAAAATTATGTAAATATTAGGAGTACAAATATCTAAGGAACTGACTTCCGACACTACACTAAATCAGAGTACTGAGTTTAGAACATAATTTAAAGTTGAAGTTGATACATAAATATTTTTTATGTAACTTTAAAAGGGTATAAGATATTTTGGAGAGCTATAATTACATTCAAAATATACTTTTTTAAAGACAGAATCTTGCTTGGTCACCTAGGTTGGAGTGCAGCCTCCGCCTCCCAGGTTCAAGTGAATCTCCTGCCTCAGACCCCCAAGTAGCTGAGATTACAGACATGAGCCACTATGCCTGGCTAACTTTTGTATTTTTAATAGAGATGGAGTCTCACCATTAAGCCAAGTTGGTCTGGAACTCCTGACTTCAGGTGATTCAGCCTCCAAAAGTGTTAGGATGACAGAGATGTGTGCTGCTGTGTCGAGCCAAAGTATACTTCTTGAAAAAAGATTTTTTTGGGTACATGAATGAGGATGTAATTCAACTTTAAATTGATGACTGTATCTTTATTCCTATTGTATTCACATGTGAAAACGTGGTGAATTGTTCCTGCATGAAAAATATGAGAGATTCTTTTTTATTAGGTGAGCATTATTTATTACTTTTTCTATTAAATAATAAAGACATTAAAATGTAAGATGCATGATGCAAATCTAAGTAGGGATGCTCTTTGTGGTTAACTTACAATGTTTAGTGATGGCTGAGGTAGCTGTTCAGTTTAATATTCTTCATTGTGAGAAAAACATTTTTTAGTTAAAATTAATAGTATATATATGTATATACATATACATATATATACTTTTTTTTTTTTTTTTTTTTTTGAGATGGAGTTTCGCTCTTGTTACCCAGGCTGGAGTGCAATGGCGTGATCTCGGCTCACCGTAATTTCCGCCTCCTGGATTCAGGCAATTCTCCTGCCTCAGCCTCCTGTGTAGCTGGGATTACAGGCACACGCCACCATGCCCAGTTAATTTTTTGTATTTTTAGTAGAGACGGGGTTTGTTGACCAGGATGGTCTCAATCTCTTGACCTCGTGATCCACCTGCCTCGGCCTCCCAAAGTGCTGGAATTACAGGCATGAGCCACCGTGCCCGGCAAAATTAATAGTATATTATTTTACTAATTGTACTTCTATGTGATAAAATCCACTAAATTTAAAAACCTTGAAGTTATGTGTAGACTTAATTTTTGAATTTAACATTTTTAACATGTTAAATACTATTGTGCACTCAATGAAGTAGTATTTTGCCACTGACCTTAACCCATTCCACCTTAAGAGTGTAGGTAAAAGATTATAACAATATATTTCTTGACATAATAAAGTACCATCTCTAGTAATCTTTTTTTGCCAATGGCTTTAAACTGCAAAAAAGTTAAAGAATGTTGTTCCTGAAGGTTAAATTTTTATTGTTCTTTGTCATTTAAATTTACTTAATTTTGGGGGTGCATAGTATGTGTATATATTTAAGCCACATATGGCATATTTTGATACATGCATACAATATCTAATAATCACCTGATGGTAACTTAGGTATCTATCACCTCTAGCATTTATTTGTATTACAGAAAATTTAGTTTTACACTTTTTGTTATTTTAAAATGTACAATTGTTACTGATGGCTTGGCGTGGTGGCTTATGACGGTACTCCTTGCACTTTGGGAGCCCGAGGTGGGTGGATCACCTGAGGTCAGAAATTTGAGACCAGTGTGGCCAACATGTCAAAACTCCCATTTGTACTAAAAATACAAAAATTATTGGGCTGGACACCGTGGCACACCCCTGTAATCTCAGCACTTTAGGAGGCTGAGGCGGGTGGATCACGAGGTCAGGAGTTCCAGACCAGCCTTGCCAATGTGGTGAAACCCTGTCTCTGCCAAAGATACCAAAAGTTAGTTGGGCGTGGTGGTGGAGGACTTCTGTAATCCCATTTACTCTGGAGGCCGAGGCAGGAGAATCATTTGAAACTGGGAGGTGGAGGTTGCAGTGAGCTGAGATCGTGCCACTGCACTCCAACCTGGTTAACAGAGTGAGACTTTGTCTCAAAATGAATAAATAGTATTGACTGACTACAGGGTAATTTCTTTGGTTATAGTATTATTTAGAAGTATTAATAAAATCTGTACATTTGTGAGTCATAGTACGTATTTTTATTTGCACATGTGGCCTCTGCCTGCAAACACAGACTTTTAATTTTGATTTATACAAAGTTAGCCGGGCATGGTGGCTCATGCCTGTAATTCCAGCACTTTGGGAGGACGAGGCAGGCAGATCACCTGAGGTCAGGATTTAGAGACCAGCCTGATCAACACCAACATGGAGAAACCCCATCTATACTAAAAATACAAAATACAGCCAGGCATTATGGTGCATATATAATCTCAGCTACACAGGAGGAGAATGGCTTGAACCTTGGAGGCAGAGGTTACAGTGAGCTGAGATTGTGTCTTGCACTCCAGTCTGGACAACAAGCATGAAACTCCGTATCAAAACAAAAAACAACACACATACATTACTCCAAAGATAAACCTTAGGAAAGAAAATCAAAATTATGGAGTATGTGTGCTTGTATGAATATGAGTTTGTACCTATTTTCAGAAGAAAACACTATTGGAATAAAACATACCATTTTAATAAGGTGATTAATTTCTAGATAATAACCTAAAAAATGCTGAAAGCAAGTTTATGCTCTCAGTTTTGTATTCAGTACTGTAAAACCTTATGGCTTATGGTTCAGAATCTCTCCATACAAAGTCTGTTTTTCTTTGCCTGGTACTCATGCTAGATTTATAATTTTCTTGTTTGTTATTTGTTTTATAGTTTATGAAGTATCCATTACGTGAGCTGGTCTTTGATTATAAGAATGTTAATAAAATTTAGGAATGCACACAAAATTTTAAGATGTAATTCCATAATTAGTGTGTTTTATTTACAATATTCCATTTTGTTCTTTTAGTTGTAGATGTTTTTGTAAGCCTACTTTTCTTTCTTTAGTTATTGTCCTCTTTCTGTAGAAAACATAAGTCAATTTACTTATTTATTGAGTCTTTTTCTTTTTGTCAAGTAAGTTCTAGGAAAGCTTCATAAGTCATGAGAATGTCTTTATATATAAATGTATCAAAGAAACATGGCTGAGTCCAGGCACGGTGGCTCCCACTTGTAATCCCATCACTTTGGAGGCCAAGGTGGGCAGTTTACCTCAGGCCAGGAGTTCAAGACCAGCCTGGCAAACAAAACCCCATTTCTACTAAAAACAAAAATTAAGGCTGGTGTGGTGGCTTACACTTGTAATCCCAGCACTTTGGGAGGCCCAGGGCAGATCATAAGGTCAAGAGTTCAAGACCAGTCTGACCCCCAATATGGTGAAACTGTCTCTACTAAAAATATGAAAATTAGCTGGGCCTGGTCACATGTGCCTGTAATCCCAGCTACTCAGGAGGCTGAGGCAAGAGAATCACTTAAACCCAGGAGGCAGAGGTTGCAGTGAGCCGAGATTGTGCAACAAGTACAGCTTGGGGGACAGAGCGAGACTGTCTCAAAAGAAAAAAAAAAGCATAGCGGTGCTTGCTGTGTAACTGATGCTCCATAATAAGCCATAAATATTTCTGCTTAAGTTAGATTGTAACTTCAAGTCAGCCGTTTCTGGTCTTTTTTTTTTCCCCCTGATCCATTGGAGTGTTCGTTTTTCCTCAATTACCATACTGTTTTAGCTAATATAACTTTTTAGTATATTTTAAGGTCAGGTAGGGTGATACCTTCACCTTTTTTTTTTTTTAATCTTTATTGCTTCGGCTACTAATGGTCTTCTGTGGTACCACATAAATTTTTGATGTATGTTTTACAATTTAAAGTACGTCACTGGTATTTTTGTAGAGGTTGCATATATTTGTAGATTTTCTTTAATACAGATATTTAACACTAGTGATGCCAATTCATTTAAAGGTAATATTTTTCCATTTATGTATTAATTTTGTACTTAAATATTGTTTAGATTATAATGCACAGGTGTTTCCACTTTTTGGTTAAATTTATTTCAATGTATAATTACTATAGTTATTGTAGATGAGTTTTTTTGTTTGTTTGTTTTGCTTTGAGACAGTTTTGCTCTTGTTGCCCAGACTG